CTTTACAACAATACATTTCACTAGGAGTGGTGTGATGACTGGTGCAGCTTCCGAGAGCAAGTACATTATCAGAGAAGCATTGGCCAGTCGAAATGATAATCCCTAAAAAGGCTAATGCACACACTCGCACAAAGCTCGTGCTCGTGTGAAATTATACCCTTTATTATATTGCGTATTTACATTGAGCGTTCTAAAGAAGCAAAGTAAAATTGCAGTCAAATGTGAAATGTGACGGAGCTGACCATTTCGTTGATATTCTGATTAGTAGCATACTTAAGTGAACGGAAGCTTAACAGGGTCACTGAGCTCTAAAACTCATAAAATAAAATTATGTCAATGACATGTGTATGACAGTGAAAAAGGTCATTGCTTTGGTAATTTGGTAATATATATTAGGCTCTTCATTAAATAGTATTGATATACTCGTATAACGAAGGGACAGTATTTTATGACAGTACTTCGTCTGGGCTGCTGTAAGATTGTGGTTTCTTTACAAAGTGATTTGATTGCTGACACCTTATTCTTTTATGATATACTTACAGCAGATACGAGTACGATTGTGCCATGAAGAACTTATAATAAGCATATTTTTTGATAAGCGGTGTGAAAATATGTAAATTATCAATACAAAAAGGAAAACGCATACGCTAACTTGTTTTCTCTTTTTTTTAACGAAGATTACAAGAAATCATAAACCGATTTCGTCACAAAATAACATTATGCCAAATGTTATTGTAGTTTGAATATATTTTGTACGAGTTTTGGTTAGATAGATTACGAGGCGAAAAGTTTGTCTGACGATTGTTTCTATTTAAAAAAATGCAACTACGAATTGGCCTGAAATTTGGTATTTCAAATGGAATCAAGAATCAGAAAAATAACAGAGGATCTCGATGTATCTTATGGATCGACTCATAACATTTTGGTTAATGTTTTAGGTATGAAGCGTGTCAATGCTATACTCATATCAAAAGAGCTGAATGCGCCATCAAACACATACTAGGTGCCTGACTTTTTGACCAAATACAAAACGAGAGTCAGCGCTCAGCTACTGTATTCACCAAACTTCCTTCCTGTGACCCCTGCTTATGTGTGTTAAAAGACGCGCAAATATTGTTTTGCCAGTACAGGTCAAATTTGATCAAATAGATAAATTCACCTACGTTGTTAGAAACATAGCTATATTCACGAAAACAAGTGTCGATATCATTAACTGAATATGTACAATATAATACCATATGTTATATATTATATACATATTTGTAATATATCCTACGTTAAAATGAAAACGTCTTTAAAATTGTTTTTGTCTTGCATAATTTTCCAAGAAAAATATTTACTCAGCAGGTTTTAAGTACAGAAGAAACACGATAAATCCACACTAATCTTTATCAGCTACTAAACACTGCCTGCAAAACCAGAAACTAGCCATACCATATGTTCAACATGCATGGATATAAAACTTACTTTACGAACAAAGTTGTATGTGTGTTTTGCTTTGTAAGCACATAATGCTCATTTGCTTCACTTTCTTGTGTGTGTTAAGCAAACTTTTGCTGTCCCATCCCTATTTAACATCCTTTTGGCGCCCGATTCGCCTTAGCTGATTTTAAAGACACAACTTAATTTATTTACATACTCAGGCACGCCCGGAAGTGAGAGGGAAATTTCGAACTCAGACGAAAATTTTGCTTTCTCAAATATGTTATGCCATAAATTTATTAAATAACTGTTAAATGATATTGTCAGCATGAAAATTTGCAACTTCACTAACAAGAAAATTGCATGTAATATTTATGTATGCCAGCAAAGCAGCAGGAGCTTCTAACGATTTTCGTGCATAAATATTCTTCGAACTAAGCAACAATGCGAACACACGCAAGCATACTGCCATGTTTGCTTTTTTATGTGCTAATCTCAGTAAGGCTTAATTGATTTTTAGAGTGACATACAGTTACAAGTATTTCCGCCTATGAAAGTTAGTGGCCTTCATTCTAACACCTTTGAAAAGTTAGCAATTATAAAAGAGCGTGGGTTTAGTTATTAGCTGAATTTCACAATTTAAAAACTTACTACAGCTCCATACATCTGTTAACCGTATTTATGGTCACACAATTCGTCCGGTTATCTAATATTTCCCTAGATGTTCTAATGTTTTTAATTTAAGTTTTCCAAAACTCAGCAAAGCTTTTGTGACTTTGTCACGAGCAAAACGAGGGGTTGATATTGTGTCCTTCTTACTATCAGACAATAACTTTCCAAAGACAATCACAATAACACAAATCCAGCAAATTTTAGCTGCTGAACTTTGACACACCACATCACAACAACACTCTTCATTCAATCATATAAGCATTGAACTGAATTCTGGCACTTAATTTTTGCTTAAGTGGCTGCAATGATTTCGATGATCTACGACAATGGTGTCGATAAAATGGGATAGAAATTTGATAGTGTTTGGAAAAGTTTAAATTGGGTAAACGTGCATCTGACAGCTTACATTATCACCAATATTAATGTGTGCGAATAAATGTTAGTGTTCAAATAGTTCTCCAGACCTCAAGACCGAATACTGGAATACCCAAATATAAAGGCTATCTGTGCCTATGAGGAAATATTATATCGAATATGAAGTGAAGAAATTTCACTGAAAAGCTATGAAGAAGGTTGGGGACTTAATCGACATTTTAAGTCGACTTTGTTTTTATTTTGGGAAACAGGGAAGCTTTTGCCATGTCCCAGGCTTTAAACTTAAAGTATTAATTAATAATAAATTTTCACAGTTTATAAATTAATGAATATTATGATGATGATGCAGAAAAATATATACATACATACATGCATATAATTGTGTGTATATATTCAATCATGCTCGTGAACTTATTGGATTTTTCAAGTATTAGCCGCTTTCGGATAACTTTCGAATTCAAAAACTCACTACAAGGCTAGCATTTTATCACTAAAGAATTAAATGTTATTCAAATGTTCTTCATACCAATGGAAACTGTTCCCCTTAAACACAGTAGTGATTTCGGAAGTTTCCATGAGAGCTCACTATGATGCTCTTGTTGATTGCTTTTATTGCTATTGTTGTTTTGACTTGACGCTTACTGGCCCAAAAGGTCAGGTGACAATCGAAGTAAGTGTAGTTTAAATGCAATTTATATGCAAATTTCCAGCAACAGCAGTTTGGTTGTGTGTGAAAGCACACTTCGTTGGAATGGCAGATTATTGAATTTTTAGGCCCTTTAATATATCGAGGCTATCAACTGCAACCTTCGCACACTTCCGCCCACAGTTAATTGGCAGTGAAGAGGAGAGAGAATGCATGACTGAAGGTGGTTTAAAACTTAAATTGGTAATATGAATATATGTTCTGACATGTGTATATATTCTAGCGACAGCTTAAAAAAATATATATTTAACAAAATTGCCTTGAGCGTTTAGTACTTAAAACAATATTATTTATATTGGAAGTGTGAATTCATTTATTGATGAGAAATTAATCCCAAAATGATTTTATGGCTAAGATGCTAAAATGTGGGATAACCATAATAAGTAGTTATTGAAAAAAAAACTAAGGTTATGCAGAAGCGAACCTTGATCGGGTTATCGAAAGGATAACTTTTGAATAATAAAAAACTGTGTAATTCAATATTCTATAAAATAATCGAGCTTTTATATTCCTTCCATATTTCACACTGTTATGCTAGAAAAAACTTAGTAGCAAATAGGTAGCCGCGGTTCTATTGTATAATCTGAGTTTGAAAAAGTGTCCTCCAACTTTTGTAAATTCCTATAATTATAAAGTAGTATGTTTTTATGCTATGCCAACCTATTATATTAACAACATTTTGCTTCAAGCTGTTTGAAAAAACCGCCTGCTCGTTCAGTTTCATTAACAATCTCTTCAAACTTGTTAACTAAAACACTTATCCCTTCAAACGATATACCAGTGCAGCACTGTTGCTAAATTAATTGCATTGAAAGCTACGTTTTTTTTTTACGTTTTCCTGTTTGTAACTATGAATGAGAGTGATGCAACAACTAACAACTTTATTCAGTTTATATGCAGTTTGCTTTGTGTAATTGAACCTTTTTCATTTATCACTTCCATTAACATGTGGCTGGTGACATAATTAAAAATAATAAAAGCTACCATTTTCGTTTAACTATTTTTTGTTGATAATTTGGTAGAAAAAACTAACACGCGAAATGAATGGAAGTAGTGCGTCAATTGTAAGCGAAACTTTAAAAGCTGCGGCCATGAGCCACAAACAGTTGCTTTTGAGGGCGCAAACCTGATTGTGATTCATGTACGAAAATTAAAGAATGGTAATGTTTAAGTGAAAGCACTCGGTAGAACAAACGCCGAAAGTATCATTTGGCACAGAAAGTTTGCCTAGAATATACACATGTATAAAAGCTGTATTTGAGAGCGATTTTAGCCAAACAAAGGCAGTTGTGTGACACAATAAATGGAAATTTGAGTAATGTTGAAGTGGTAAGAAATATACCAAAATTTCTGAAAAAAATATTGCGAGGTGAATAGAGTAATATGGAAAAAAATTACTAAAATACAATAATTTGTTATAGAGCTGATGAAAACATTCGAAATACACATTTTACGCCTTTCAAGCATTTATCCGCCAACAATGTTACACTTAAAATGTGCGCAACTGTTCACATAGTATGTAACTCAAAATACAAGGAGGCAACCTCACAAAAGCGCCAATATACCACACCGTAATGCACCAGTTCGGGACTAGTTAACTGATGCCACAAACTGCGTTCCTGTGAGTGGGCAGTGCACTTTTCGCGCAGCAGTTCGCAAGTGAAGACAACCACAAAGCCGCATGTATGCGAGTGTACGCTACTTTTTACGCCTAATGCTACAACAACAATAAGCACGCATAGCACTAGCACTTATTTGCATAGCATTAAGTATACAGTTTTTAACTTTTTGCGCTAGAAAATATTAATATGCGCAGTACACTTACCCGCCCCTTACTGCTGCAGCGGCTCGGCTTGCACTTTCCTTTGAATTGAATTTTTTTGACTCCTGTTATACAAGTAAATGTACGCTGGCGTGTGCGTATGCGTGTGTGAGAGCATCGTTGTTGCGGCATTCACTTGAACTCCCTGAAAGCAACGAGCCGCAGCATTTCAAGCGTTTTGTTTTTAGCATCACAATATTGAAGCTTCGGCGCGTGTGTGTTTGCTATTTATGTTATAGTTGTTGTATTTTTACATAGTCGCGCAACTGTTGCAAAAACTAGGTTAACGAAGGCAAGCTGGCACACTTAAAAACTTTGTTGCATACCTGTGAAAGAGAGAGTAAAAATAAAAAGGAAAATGAAATATGAAATATGAAAAATGTGTTAAAATTGAGAAGAAATAGAAATGCCATTATAAATCCATAGCTTGACATATATTGTATACAAATGGCAAGGGACAAGTGCTCAAAGAAACTGTGAAAACACTATTTTTCTTAAAAATGAAAACAAAGTAAAATAGTCAGCAACTGTTGCAGAACGCCAACAATTCCTTCTGTTAAGTTTCGCTTTGATTGTTGACTTCAATAGGAAAGCATGCACCGCAAGTGTTGAGCTGTAAAGCTGTTATAAATGCAACAGCGATGGTGGCAAGGAGAGGTGAGGTTGTGTAACAACACGGATGAAACGTAGAAAAATTATTAAAAATAAATTTAAAAGGAAGCTCAAGCAGTGATGTACACCGATGTGTACTCTATGTTAAGTAAAAGTAATGTAAACTATGCCTATTAGAGGCACATATAAAACAAAGTATAAATTTTTTAATTTTTCTAATCAACTTTGTTGAACCCAAGCCGTAATACCTTTCACAAATACAAAAGATTATTTAAACGAACTTGATTTTGATCGGTCAGTTTGTATGGCAACTTATGTACACTAAACTTATATATATTTCGATTTGTTATGGAGACAAAACTAATATATTTTGTGCAACATGTTGCGAAAGTATAAAAATGTTAATCTAATTTGTAATTTATTCTTTCCCAATACTCCGAATTCTACATTCAACTTCCACCCGCGAAATTTATTCGTTTCTATTCCATTTGCTTTATAAACGGTATATATATATTATATATATATATATATATATATATATGTATATAAAATAAAAGAGAGAATGCACAAAACGATAAAACAGGATTTTCCTTTGCACTGCTAGAACTACCAAAATACACGCCTGCGGTGAGTCAACACGGTAGTTAAACAATAACCCGCCTGCCGCGACGGACAAGATTCGTAAGGAAAGAGGCGCTGAGGGCGTGGCAGCATGCTATGATTAACGCGGCTGCTTGCAATTTTTGCTGTCGCAACGCTGTCTCTGCCCTGCGGCGTTAGCGCACAATTAGAGCGCACATTTCAATAATACCACCCCAGTCCACGCCCGAAAAACAACGACAGCGCTGTAGCAACTTTTTAATGATGCCATCAGTTGGAAACCAATGGATGGTAGCTTCCTTTTGTTCTTATTATTTAATTTTCTCTCTCTGCTCGAGTTCCCACAAAACCAGTTTTTATATAGACGGTGTTAAATAGTTAGCGGTGTTGGTAATTGGCCACTGCTGCTGTCCGAATGGCTGAGTGTACCTGTCCCCACATCCAACCCGCAACGATGACCGCAATATTTTACTCAGGGATGTTTAAATTAAATCGAATTTCATGAATATTGATTGATTACGCTTGCTCAGAAAAACGGGAACTAACAAAATTGAAAGGAAAAAACAAAAAAATACCCGAAGTTACGAAAGGTGAGCAGCTTAAACTTTGCATTGCAACAGCTGCTTGTTTAATCACTTTAAAAGTATGATAAAGTCTTTTAATTTAATAACTCGCAAGTAGTGAAGGGTACAGCTTTTCTTAAAATAATATTCTTTTATTTCTGGCGCAGTTTATGAATTTGTTTTATATAAAGCTAACATACATTCAAGTTTTGCAAAAGTAAATAAATTATAATGTACGTTTGCAATATAGGCCATTCATTTTGCAGAATAGTTTTTAAAAGGTGCTGCTGCCTGGTTTTAAATAGACTCTCTTAATTAGGGGGACAAATATTTGTTTTCATCTAACACACTTTCGAAATGAGACGTCTATGTCACCGCAACTGTGAAAGAAAAAGTGATGTCAATCATTGGAGTAGATGGGATTTTAATAACACATAATGTCAAACAATCCATCTTCAGGAGAGCGTACAACTAAGTTGTTTCATAAATTTGACCCATTTCCCAATGGCGTGAGTTTAGGTTAAAATTAAACGCATTTCTAATACATCATTTCAGCCCACCACACAGTTCCATTGCTACCTTCATAATTCATAAAAGGAAAATAAGTATTTTGTCAACCACAAACAGAGAGGTGCACAAAACAGCGAATCATCAATTTTCTTTCAAGCATTTTTTTCATTAATAAGACCATACCTAGATGGATGAAAGTAGGCGACAGCATGAAAGACGGATACGATGAAAAAGCCGACGTTGTGTGACACGATGTGGCAAGCCAAACGCCCCATGAGGATTTAATTCAATTCCCGTCTGTCTTTTCAAATAGAACTATATACTTACATAACGTGAGTGCCACCTACGCAACACAGGTTAGAGGAAATTTAGAAAAATTTAAATAAATAAAAATAAGATCACGATGCCGCAGGCAATGTAGTGTGACTGCCTGCCAAGCAGCAGCAGCAAGTAAGGCAGCCGGCGACATGGACGATGCATCACTGAAAGTTGTAGAAACAAAAGTGGAAAGAGTAACTTGCAGGAAGTGCGTTGGCAGCTAGCGGAAGTGGCAACAAATGTCGGCAACGTCACAGCGCTTCGACCACAGTCATCGTGAGCACCACCGCAATGACAAAGGACGACAGCACAAACAACAGCAACAGCAAGAACTTAGAGCGAAACAATGGCAACAGGATTTGCCTTCACACAGTCACTTTTTCATATTTTCTACACTTTTTTTCGCAAGCCAGCTTTCACGTCTATTCAGCTTGCGGCTTTCTTTGTTTCACTTCCTTGGTGTGCTGCTTGGGTCTTTGCAGCAAAATCCAAGGCATATGCCTGACAACAAGACAGCCGCAGAAAGAAACGCTGGCAAAACAACAATGACAACGGCGATATTTGTAACATTCGGAGACATATAAATGCGTCGAGGAGTTCTTATATACAACTTCAACATGTATTACGCCGTTTCAGTGTCAACGTCTGTTGATAAGCAAGACTGAGTGGTTGAGTGAATGAGTGAGTGATTTCAATATATTCGCCTTCTCTTGAAATTGTGTAGTATTTTTTTGCATCAGCTCCTTTGCCACTAAGCCGACGTGCCGCTACGTTGCTTTCCATAAACAGTAACACAACTTCTTATTGTTGTGTTTGTCTCACGTTCCTTCCTTCTCCTTCCATAGCTACAACTACTTGCAACACTGCATGCCAATCGTTCGTTGACTTGTACTGTTAGAATATCCGAGTTGGTTTCCCAGCTGTTTCCGTCTTCCTGTTGTAGCGAAGGCACCCAGACGGGCTGTTGAACTAAATATTTTTCTATTTATTTGTTTTTGTTTTCCTCTCGCTTGTTTTGGTTCAGGTACCCTTTCTTCCTCCTAGAGTAATTTGGTGGTGTTTATTTTCACTCCAGCTGTTCAACATGGTTACCGAGCATTCCTTCAACATCAACAGAATCTGCATATTATTGCTAAGGCGTGTTGATGCGAATAGCTGCTGTGACAATGTGACCGAGTAAAGGGTGTTTCTCAATATGAGTGAAGTTTGTGAAAAATAACAATTTTATGTGTGTTACTTTAACTTAGAGAATTGTGAAATAACTAAAATTAAATGGATTTGCACAAACTGTTTTGTAGAGAACTGGAAGTTACTTTTACTTTAAATCTTAATGGTACACCTAGTGTGAACTTTATAAATATTGATTATTTCATATTTCAAAAAAAAAAACGTAACATACTACAGTTAACATAACATACTAAAAAAAATTTATTTCAAATAGTTTTTGAGTTACAGCCTTCTTGAACGTAACCGTTTAGTCATGATCCGCTCACTATTAAATTTTGGCAGGCGAAAAGTTACCAACATTTTTGATAAAATTCTTTTATTTTTAAACGCCGCCGTTTTGTCAATTATTGAATTTTTTCGACCGTAAATCATTGTACGCACAATATCTTTTCTTCAAAAATTTTACTGTATATTTTCAAAATGTACATAAATGTAACGTTAAATTTTTAAAATATTTGATACAATAGTTTTTTTTTTACTGCCACCTTTTTGAGCTATCACACTAATTCTCATAAATAATTGTTCAGATCTGACTGCACACCTATAATTAATAACTTCAGCGTCAAAATTGCAAAATTTACCTAGAGTCCTACTTTACCTTATCCTTGAAAAACCTCATCACCCTGTATTCAAATGTGTATATCGTACCTGCACAAGTACTCAATATATTATGTTCCCCCACCAATTCAACATATTCAACACCTATTACCGAAAAAATCCCTGGCGTGCTTTGCTTTATAGTCATCTTCCCAAAAATTTTGATAAGAGTGCGATTTTGTGAGCGATCGCAGAAAAATATACGTGTTGGTTTATTTGTAGGATTATTGCTTTTTGTTTACTGCATATTTTTGGGCTCCTTTTGTGGTGTGTTTACATTATAAAGTGTAAGGATCGGCTTTTGTATTTGCTACACTGACTTGCTTATCGTTGACGGTTCATTTTGTGCTTCGCTCAACCTTACTGAGTAAGTATGCTGCCATTGGCTTTTCCCCGATTGTAGAGATGTTTGATTTTGCAGAGAAAATAAATTCCTATATCCGCCTTCTTGTTGAAAATTGAATGTTAACAAAGCGTGGAATTTGATAAATATGCTTAGCAATATTATTAACTCCTCATATTCAAGCGGATAAGACAAATTTGTGTACTCATGGCACAAGCATATGCTGTCTGAAATTTCAATACGCTCCGTAATAATATGAATACGAGTTGGTAATGTTTTTGAGGATATAACATGATAAGCCTCATAAAACTAATTTTTTTTAATTTTAAAATCAAAAGTTAGTTGATTGAATTCCAAACAGGTAAATTTTATCTAAAAATGTATATGACGATTATTTAATTTTTCTTCTGGAGCTTTTCTCTTCAGAGACTTTTTGGCTTTACCTTAAGTAAACCTCAACGAAGTTTATTTTAATCTTATTGAAATCTTAAAAAATTCTGTAAACAATATACAAAAAAGTGAATGATCCACCAAATTCTACAAAATAAAAAACTAA